ACTTGCCTCTGCAGGGAAAAAAAAGTTATAGATTTTTCTGATATTGCGTTTATGGACAAATAGCGACAACATCAAAACAAACAAATACAACTTGGAGCCACTACTGCCAGACAACTACTTCAGAATTGATTTGATGTTGTGTCACTGTAAAAGACCCAAGCCGAACAATATGAATTTTAGTGTTTCTGTTTTATGAAGTTCAACAAAAATAAAATGCACAACAAGCCCTTTCTGTTTTGTTGGTCAAAGCTGTATATTTGTATGGTTTGGGTTTACATTTAGGACATATTTTTTGACTGACTTTATATTCAGGCTAACATAAAATCATGGAGGGAGAGATACTGGTGCCTTGCATAAAGCACTAGGCCCCCAGTCATACTGCAACTGTTAGGATAAACAGATAACAGATGGATGGATGTCCTCTTCTGTACTCGAGAACTGATAAATGACTGATGCAAGCCCCAATTCAAAATAAATTCCATTAGACAATGTTGTCTAACTATGAATTACTTCTTTATTCAATGTGGTTTAAAATATTGGACATTACACTGTATATATAATGAGTCACTAATTGGTGATGTCAAGAACTTTAGGTTGATGGCGTCTTATTTTGTTCAATAAATAACACCTTAATCACACAGATGCTTGAAATTATAACTTTTTGGAGCATTAGTACTAAATAATTATGTAGTGATTCAACTTTCAACTTAAAATATGACTTGAGGACAAAAACAACATTGCAGACAGTTTAGGCAGGAAGAAGGACAGACAGCTTAAATGTAGCTGCAAAGACTTTCAGTTAAGATATTATTTACCTTTTGCCTCCCATGTTAATCCACGCCACCCTCACTCCTTTCTTCTAAATAGCTCCACACCAACATGAAGAAGAAGGCTGACATTATTCAAAGCTTTTGTTCCTGCTGCATCCACTCCTCTGTTATCTCTTGATTTAACCTCTTTGTCTCGTCACTCCCCTGAAAAAGTCCTCTAGTGGAGGGCCCAGATTGACTCTTAACCTGAACCCTTAGTCACTCTTTTCACCAGTGCTGCAGACCTGCTTCCCTTTCTTGTATTAATCATCAGCATTACGCTTACATCTGGCTGTGTGCCAGCTATGTTCGTGGATGTAAGAGTAACTCAAGAATAACTCTTCAAGAAGCCACCTTTTGACACTGCTAGTGTCAAGATCGTCAGACTATAGACAAGCATAATTGCTTTAATTCCATTCCAAGTAAAGATCAGAAATACACAAACCTACTTGACCTGTCTGCCCAACCTGAGCCATGCTTCCCACCACATACTCAGGCTCTCCAAGGCTCAGTCCTTGTTTGTCTATTGCTGCATGCAATATCTTCAGTTATTAGCTATTCTCCGCTATCAACTTATTTTCTAGGAAACCTTGGCTCCTAAACATGTGCTTTAATACCCAATTTACAGCAACCTGCTGTACCATCCCACAGTCTTATTGTGATTCTCTACAATGAAATACCTATCCCCTGAATAGTCGCACAGCAATCCGAATACTCAACCCTGTACAAATCTGTTGGATCAAACTTTGTGTTTGCACAGAATATGCACAACTCCTGATTCAAGCCCGTCTTGTGCTATTTCTCAATGCTGTCCTTCATGAATTCTTGACTCTGTCATCCCGATCGCTGCAGCAAGGCTCATCTTCAACCTCCCTAAATTCTCCTATATAACTCTAACTCTCTTTACCCTCATATTGTTCCAATTCAATTCATTGTTCCAAGTGTTCAGTGCATCCATACCTCCAGATACCTCCAGATAGTGATGGCTCCACCTGGTCTGGACGCCTGTGCCTCAGGGTGCAGTCGTCAACTGATTTCTCATCTTGGTCACAACTGAAAATCCATCTGTGAGGGCTGGCATCTAAATCTAAAGCACCGCCCTGTTAGGTAGAGTCAGAGGGAGCTCCCCGCCTTCATAAGGACAGGTGAGGGCAATGCCTCTTTGTCTGAGGCCTGGTTGTGTGGCAGGATTGCTGTGTCATGCAGGTAAGGGAGAGAGGAGGAGAAAAATGTTATATTGCCTTATTAGAAATCTAATGAGGTCTTTGTATATTTAGTTGTGGTGTGACTGTCCTGAGTGATCCAGATGGAGCATGCTCTGTAGCCCTGTGCTGAAGAGGTATGTCTCTGAACTTTGGGGTTTCATTAAACTGTAGATATATCACTAATATGATAACATCTCTTCAGGCAAATACTCAGCTCTTCCATCTCCCCTTTTACGCCAGAGTAGAGCTTTTCAACTGTTGCATTGCTTTTTAGCAGAGCCCCACATGAACAAGATTTAAGTCCAGACTGCTGCTTTGCCTGAGCCAGTTCGCCAAGGCGGTTGGCGAATGTGTTTACAGACTGCACAACTTAAATAATCTGTAGATGGTTGAATAGTGTCTTTTTACATTGTGTGTAGTGACACTGAATATCTGTGAATCTGAACCAACTGAATCTCCTTGTATTTTCTGTCTTATGTTTTGATTTGGCAGTTGGGACGACCTGCAGGGAGTAGTCGTGGGATATGCCCCCCTCCTTGCATGCAGTGTGGTATGATTGAAGGGTAGTGGTCACTTCACTGGTTTGTAGGTTTGATTTTCCTTGCAGTGTAAGTTGTAGTGTTTGCAGTGATCAGTGTGCACACGAGGTGATTTCTATTGGGGTCTGCGATAGTCTCCCCGCGGTGAGTACCCTGTCCTGCCTATTTCTTGCAACCATTTAATCTTATTGTATTTTATGTTATGGTGAAGCCATTTGCTATTTATACACTGGTTTATTGTGGAATAAAATAATTTGGACTAGTTTTATGGTTTCTTCTTTCTTTTTCAGGTCTTTTGCCAGTATAATTTATTTTTAATAAATATTATTGGAGAGCTGAATGCACGTCTCCTGCTTTTCTTGAACCCTTTAAAAATTGTCAACGCTCAGATGGTTGGTGTCTAGGGCTGGTATCGTTCTATTCTGTGAATCGGTCCCCGTTGTAACCTGGGTGGGGTCACACATCTGATATTATTCCGCCTCACAAACTTAGGTCCAGCTCTACCTCCACTCAACAACACACGTTTGATTAATGTTGTAGCTAAGTAGTGGACAAATTTAAAATGATGGTGTTTGATGAAAAATCAGTGGATTACCAAAGTTTTCTGATCCTATTATGTAGAACTTATTATAATAACTGGGTCCTGTTTATCTTCACACAGTTTAAGTGGTCACTGTTGATTTGCAGTCTTTTGTATACATTAATATTAATCCTAGTTGGATTCATCCCTCATGAGAGCTGTGTCAGTTACCTTGATTATATAGCCATAGCAACTAAAGTTGCTTGGAGCGCCTGTTGCTAAGCTCCTTCTTCAAGTCTTGATATTGCTTTCTCTATAAATAGGTTTATCTTCGCTGAGGTCAAACTACTTCATTCAGCTTAGAGAATAGGCTACAATCCCATCAGACATTCAGCACATTTAGAAAATTTACATTTTAGTTATTTAGCTAGCTCTTATCCAGTGACTTAAAATGAGCGAACCTATTGGGGGTCTGTCTTTAAAGGATACGTGGACAGATTTCAGAGTGTTATTTAAATTGTAAAGCTGTCAAGTGTTTGTAAGTGTTCGTCATATTGTACTTGGGGAAAATGTATAACTGACTACATTCAGGTATGTCCGGTGCTAAACTAACTGAAGTTTAATTCTAGTTTAAATCTAAACCCAGACAAACTAACTTCAACCTTTAATGCGAACCTGACATAATCCGTTTTGCCACTAAATCCTAGCTTTTAAGCATAGTTTGAATCTTATTTTTCACCAATGAGAAAATGCCAAGATGTTACTCTTCATGAACATGTCTTTAGAGTGTTGTTGTGGGCGACTTGTTTATTTTCACCAGTCAATTTCGTTACCAGGCTTCTCTTTCACCTTGACTCATGAGCCCTTCATCTATAAATAGGCTTATCTCCAGTGAGGTCAAGCTGGTACATTCCCTTTTGTTCTTGCAAGCTGTAGTTGGTTATATAATTGGATGTCTCTTCATTCTTTTTCCTTCTCACATGAAAGTGGTTTTATATCATGCAGCGTGTACACTTGCAGCATCACACCAGTGGACCTAACAGAAGTTCTGATTGGCTCTTTTTTTAATCAAGCAACCATCTGGAGGCTTCCTAATGGGCTTAATGAGTATTGGATTGCATTGCTCCTGCATTTGTGCACTAATGAGTGAATGTATATGCTCATAAGTGTACATATACATGCACACAAACAGTATACAGATGTATACACACTACTTTTTGTGCCCAGCTGTCTCACTGTTGCTCTGCTCCATGATAAAAGTCCATGCATTTTGAGTAAAATCTACTGGTAATTATTGTAACCACATAGCGGTAAAAAATAGATAATTTCATATCCCATGATTCAAGGTTCTTACCATAGTATCTTTCCATACATATATTATAATAACTTGTATGATAACTGTATTTTCAGTTGCTACTTTGTCATCTCTGAAAACCAGTGTCACTCACCGTAGTTACATTGCAGCATTATTCAACCTAAATGACTTGACTTGGGTGTCACATGGCCTCAATTCAGGCTTCTGTCCTTCAGAGGCTGTAGCCACTAAAGAGGATATGTCTTTTACACCGTTCCAACTACAAGGGTCCGAGGTGGAGCCTAGAAATAATCATCTCAGTGGCCTTTTGTGCACTCAGCAAGGCAAAATGGGGAGTTCATTTGCCGTGAAAATTTATATCTCCCGTTTCCTTGGCTCCTGGTGTTCTCCCTTCCCCACCGCACACATAGCAGTATGGGTATTCTTCTTTCTGTTGGCAGCAGCCGCCATCCCTGACACGCCACATGTTTTATTGCCCACTAAAGCATAATGCTCCACTCCTTTTTGATATTGAATTATTTATTTATTTTCCTTCGCTGGCTGTGAGCCCCTATGAACGATTGGGTGCCTCAGGCCTGCTGCGACATGATCTCAGGGGGTATTAAATATATTGCCTGTATTTGTTTCCCACCTCTAAGTGGATCTGACGACACTGCAGACAAATACTCATCCTCCAAATAGAGGAGCCTCGACAACAAAACAAGTATGTCCTCCACTCCATAATCCTTATTGCATCCAGACGTCTGTTGGGGGTAGAATGGAAAAATAGAAGACTGTTATTATCAGACTCAGATTGTTTTGTGTTTGCCCAGTATAGATTTTGCACCGGAGACCAGTGACTTTGCACATCTGTAGTACTATATGATACTACTTGTGTATTTGTGTGTGCTCTTTTATTATTATTTTAAAACACATTTTATGTTTATGTATTTTGTTTCACTCCTAATGAAAGCAACATTAATGGGGAAGGCAAGATTTGTTTTTGAAAACCAGATTCGTCCAGAAGTCGTTTTCTTAACAGATAAATATGAATTAATTATTTTTAACAAAGACTTTTTATTAGCTATGGTTTGTGTTTTTGACACAATTTTCAGTTAATTCAGAGGCTGCATTGGCCAAAATACAGTTAGCATAAAGTAAAGCAAGTTTAGAGAGAACAGCAACAGTCAATATTGAATATATGTGCTCCTCAGGCAAAGAAAAACAAAAAAAGAGTTCCCTCCACAGTCTGTTGTTTTGCTGCATCATAATTCCTCCTGCGGCCTTATTATTGTTATTACAGCTTTTTGGAAAGACTGATGAAAGAAACCCTCCATGAGAAAATACATTGTCTGGCTGAGCATAGTGGAACGTTCCTGCACAAAATGTGGGTGTTGGTTCAGATGACTGAAACAAAGCGAAGTAATTGATTTAAAGTAGGTTTTATAACTAGGTTTGGGAACAAAGACGCCTCAAACTCATCTTATTTACGCAAAAAAAAAAAATTATTAAACCACACCTTATCCGTTCACTCCCTTTTTGACTCTGTTTTCACAACCCTCCTCTGCAAACACTTGCTTTTCTTTTTTCTTCCCTTCTCTCTCTCCTATTTAAATACAGGAACCACTGGGGCAGGGGCGATCCTAGACCATTCGGTGCCCTAGGCGAGCTTTACTGATAGCGCCCCATCCCCACGAGAATAGAATAATATTTTACTTAACATTAATATCACACTTCATTCACAATGCAATCTTTCTGGCCTTCCTTGCCGCAAAGTCATCAATAACCTCCTCGTAGGAAATCTGACCACCAACCTCATGGTTGATACTGATTGTGGCCAGACCACTGAGGTGTTCTTGAGCCATGGTGGATCTGAGGTATGTTTTCACTTTCAGTTTTAACTTAAACTTAAAACTCAGCTCAGCTGATCATCAGTGGTGCAATCAAGATGAGCAGCTCGCACTCACCTGAACATCCAGGCTCAGTGGTTAGAGGCAGGGTGAGGTTGGCAGGAAGAGCAGCATGCTCTTGTTGTGTCTCTTCTGGTGGCGCTAGGTCCATAAACATAGAGAGAACACACAAGAGCAAATACATTGACTGGATGAGACATGGTACAACATATTGACATTTTCATGTAACGTTAAGTCAATACATTTTTATCATCACAAACATTCACTGACACATTAAACTCACCTGAGGAAACCAGAGCAGCTGAGGTGCATGGCTGTTCCTGGTCTGATGATTCAGCTGCAGATGGTCCCAAATATTTTAATAGTGAATCTAAAATGATATAACAAACAACTGTATTATCAACATGGAGTAAATCATTTCCATTTTTCAAATGATATTATTATTAAGTTCTTAAGCATTTTAATTTTGACATTCTTTTTATATAAATTCACTTAGGATGTGTCTGAAATCACTCACTCATTCCCTTCTCCCTAGTCACTACATAGGGAGTCCAACATAGTGGACTATATAGGGAGTAGTGAGTGATTTCGGACACAGCCTTAGTCCTATATGCTCACAGCTCTATGTGCATACCTCTCTGCATAAACATAACTCTACCTGTATATATCATTTGTTATTATTATGCTCAACTTTTTTGATACAATATTCCATCAGTATGTAACTTATACTTATCTCTGTTCATCAGTATATAACATATGCTCATCTTTTGCACCTCTGTCTATAAAGTCCACATGTTGATATCCTCATCTGCAGATGAGGCACTGACTCACTCAGCACTTTACTAGTTTGCACTCTGGTTAGATTTAAAACTGTATTTCACGATACTTGAACTTGACAGTAAAGTTAAAACTAATCCAAAACTGAATCTTATCTAATTTTGCTATATGGACAGTGATAATAGACTTTTCACATCCACTCAATTTTTAATTTCATAGCACACAATGAGATGCAAAGTGCTATATACTGTAGCTAGCATCAACTTGTATAGTGTTTTTCTCGAAAAATAGCCAGCCAGTCAAGGCCAACCCAGGCCAGCAGTCTGAACCAGTCTTAGGACAGTCTTATTGTGACAATATTGGGCCGACTGCATGTTAATAACGACCAAACCTAGCCGAACGAAGCGGGACATCACACACCCTCATTGCTACTTAACGTTAGTTTACTAGTAAGATGCCATGATGCTACTGCTAGCTAGCATGATAATATCATGAATGCTCGGTGAATTTAATAAATATATAACCAACATCACGTACCTGTCTCTTTTGCACATTTCTCCTGCTCTTCTATTCTGCGCTCTCGAAAGTGCGCCCCGGATGGCTTTTGCCATTTCATTTTCCATGGACTGTAGCTGTAACCATAGTAACCATAGTAACCCGTCGACACACAGCCGACCGACCGACTGCGCATTAGTGTGCGCACTAGCATGTTGTGACCTTGACATGTAACAGCCAAAGGTCACGTCAGAATTTCATTTCTTTTACTTAAGTTTAATTTATTTTTTATGTCAAAGTATTGTTGTAGATAGAGGGAGGGCAAAAACTGTTGAAAAAATAAATAGACATAATTTTAATTATATATTTTTTCTAAATAAAAGATAAGAAGAGGCAGCTCACCCACTCAGAGTCTCAGTACCCACTCGGTTCCCTCCCACCATCTCGCCCAAACTCCTCCATCCATCCACAAACCTGATTTCTCCCCCATCCATTTATCCCTCAGCCTTCCTTCCCATACCCTTTCATCACTCGACCCTCAACCCTTATCCCTCTATCCCTCATCCTCCATCCCTCGACTCTCATCCCTTCATCCCTCAACCCTTTCCCTTCATCCCTCCTACAGTTAATCATATTGGTTCACCTTTTTACATTATGTGCAATAAACCATTCTAATTCCATATCCTCGTTGGCGTGGTCTTTGTGTTAGTGAATGCTTTATTAACAGAGTTTGAGAAGAGAAGGTCTGTTGTATAGAAAAAAAGTACACAACAGTTTTGTAAAATACAAGATCCCATTAAGTGATATCTAATGCTTACAGCAATAATATACAAATGTAAAAATGTAAAAGTGTCAGGATTAAGTTCAGTTCAACTCCATGATAACTTACCACTCTCATCTGCTGATGAAGACTGAGATGATGAAGATGCAGTTGAAAGCTTTATAAAAAAAAAAATGCGTAAGCCAACCTTGACTACTACTTTGAGATGAGTTTTCTAGGTCAAGAGTGTTTCACCTCAAATTTGGGTGATTGCCAATGTTACAGAGCAACTTAAATAGGAATTTAAATAGTATGTGTAAGTTCTCAGGTCATGGATAAGTTGAAACCAATTGGACCAGTGTTCTCACCAAACACCCACTGGGTTAGGATTGTTTTCGGGATGTAGCCCTATAGGACTGTTGGAGAAGTAGAAGAATCCACATTTTATCCACGATTCAAGGCCAAAATTGTAAAACTTTATTGGAAATCATGACTGACAAAATCCTGTACCCAGCTGGATGTGGAACAAAAGTGCTGGATGACTGCAGTATCTCTCTCACACTAACGTCATCTCCCTATCTCTGACTTTCTTATTACTAACTCCCCTTCTTTCTCTGTCATTCACTCTTTGAAGCTGTAACAAAAGAGAAAAATTGAGAGAGTTATCACAGTTTTTGCATAACCAGCCCATCAGTCTCGTACAAAATCATGTTTATTCATTTTGCCCTCAGGGGAGAGGGGGTAAAAGGGAGATGATTAAATTCTAATTTGACCTCTATCATAATTTAGTTGAGCCTATTATGATGTCAATCATTTGAACTCAATACTGCAGTGAGGAGAGAGCGACTGTGTGGTGAAGGGAAAGGGGATTATAGACAGTTTGGGGACCACACAGTCACTGTATCAAATTGGTTTTATCCAGCCACATGTAATTTTTTCCCTGGAGAGAACAGAGCTTGTTCAAATGTTCGATGTGTGACGTGAACATGGGGCATCAAAGGAATGATGGACTTGACTATAGCTAGTGAAGGTTGCTTTTCAGTGTGTAAAATTGTGCTACATCGTGGGAAACGATTTGCCTATTACAAGGGTGAGTCATAGATGTGAAGAGCTCAACATGATGGAAGTCTTGGGAAAGAAAATAAGTATTTGGTGTTTTCTAGCTCTCTGTTATTTGTATATGCTCTACGTGCATCCATTTGTTAAGGTATGAGCAGGAAATGTATCGGTAAAGCGCGGAAACCCATTAGGCACATTTGGTGCATTTTCTATAATGAATATCATTATATTCATCTGCAATACAAAGCAGATCACATATACGCAGTATGAACACTGTGATCACCTAAGTGCTTTTTTCAGCTCCGGATTTTGACAAGGTGAGAACAGCAGCATGCAAATAATAGGTAGCAAATGCATTACTGTGCCAAGATGGCTGAAAATACAGGCCTCTGTTCTTTGTTCACTAAGAGAGACAATGTAATCCAAACAAGGAGCAAAGCCAAAAAGCAAGAAACTGCAGACTGGGCTGATAGTGGTTTTAATGGAGTACTCATTTCACTTCCTTCAGTGTCGATGGTGATTCACTGTAGTCAGTTCAGTTTAAAGATTTGCTCATTCATATACTGAACATTACTCATTATAGGGACTAGAATACAATTTGTCTATAGAATTGATTGGGATGACAGATACAAGGTGCAACCAAATAAAGTTATAGAACTAATATTTGGATCAAATAAAGAAAAAAGGGATAAGATAATAAAATATCTCTGGATTGAACAGTACACTTTTAATATATCTATCTTGTGTGTATGTTATATGAAAGCTACAGCCAGTTGCTAGTTTATTTGGTACACCTGGTTACAGCTACAGCAGTTTCTATAATTTTTTTACACCCCCGACTTATATCAAGGAGGTTAAAGGCTAACAGAAACACTTCTCTGTATAATGCAATACAGTTCCACAGCGACAATCAAGTTAAATCAACACCTCTCAAAAAGGGTTTCAAGAAAAACTGAACAAGGTTGGATTTATTGCAAGATTGATGTATTAGACTGCATTAGTTTTGGCTAGGTGTACATAATAAACTGGCAACTGACTGTATATGTTGTTAATCCAACATGTGCAGTATTGATCCCATTTAGTCTCCATCTATTTCACCTCTGCTGATCTGCACAGAACAGTGGGTGTCTTTTGATGCTGCTTATTGATGGCTGAGGATCTTCAGTGCTGTTAACATGGTTCTTGCTGCCTGGGAAATCTCTCTGTCTGTGTTTTCTGTGTTGTAGGATTGGCTATTGTTGGTCTGTGGTAGTGGGCGGTATAATGTTAATGTTGTTAACTGTGTTTGATTGTCCTTGTGTGTGTGTGTGTGTGTACAATACAGCATTGCACCATGAAATACAGTTGAATTTAAACATACTATATGTGTTTATGTAACTACATCTGTCTCTGTAGATAGATACACACACACACACACACACACACACACACACACACACTATAGAGTATATGTGTGTGTTGGCCCAGCTGCACCAGTTTCTTTTCATCAGAGGCTCAAAGGCTAGCAGACCACGGGGATCCACTCAGTGGGCAAAATCACTCCTCCGGAGGAAGAGGAGGTCTGCTTGGGGTTATCTCCTGGAGTGACTGGAGCATGCTATGGGGATAATGCCACAATTCATGTGATTTAATTCCTCTCTCTGAAAGGAGGAAGAAATACTGTATATATATTGAGTTATTTCAAAGAACTAGCAAAAATCAAGCCTTTCATAAAGCCGGGGGGGAGAGAGTAACATAAACCCTTAAGAACTTCAATTCATCACTGCTTTGATTTCCTGTCCTCTCCTTCCTTTTTTTTTGGTGTCACTTCTTTTCTTTTTTTGTTTGTATAATGAATTATTAAGGCAGTAATGGTAATGTGTTGCTAGGTAGCTCCACAGCACCAATACTGCTCTGTGCTAATACTGAAATTATAATGGTAATGATGATAAAGTTTCTGTATCATTCCTGACATCTACTATTTCTTCTAGTTCTTCCGTGCTTATGACTAGCATTATGAATCTTTGATTTATCTTTCTAAAATAGTGTTGACAGTACTGAAAACCAGCAATGTAGCCCTTGCAGCATTTAACCTGTGTGAAAACCTGTGTGTTTGGGTGTCAGCATGCTTTATATCTGAATTGTAAAACTGACACAATGGTAATAGAAAAAACAGGTGCTGCAGATACAGAATTATACATAAACATAAACGGCAACAAATCTTTCTCGATTGCTTCACCTGCCTCTGCATAACTCTTTATCACCAGGTTGACAGCACAATGAGGGAAAAGACATAATCAAATTTACTTAGGTACATTGCTTGTGGGATTCTGTGATGATTTTAGCTAAATTAAATTTAACAGCTGAACTCATTTGTTTTTGCCAATTCATGTTTCATAGTGATACATTATTTTTCCCAGCAACGAGAGGGTAAGAGGTTAAAAAGTTTGCTTGCTCAAGACGGAAACATTTTCACAGCTTTAGTATGATCAAATGAATGATGACAAGAACAGTTTCACTTCTAAATGGTGTGTGGGTACAGAAAGTCTCCAAATAATGTACTGGCCCAGACTGACCCCATTTTGAAACACCTGTGTCTGGGTAAAGAATTTAAAACATAAGAAACACTGAATAAATCAAGGTGGGTGGATATATCATATTTAGCATTTTTGAGAAGTTAAAACACATGAAATCAATTACAATAAAATATACATACATACATACATACATACATATAAAACATAACAGTTAAGAATATGCATTAACCAAAGCATTCAGCTGGTAAAGATACCTTAATTCTGTTTTTTTCAGTACTCACATACTCTCCTGTCCAGCTATTGAAAGCAATTGGTTTATAGACAGTATCTTTTGGGCTCAACATCCTCTAACATGACATGCTGTGACACCATGTTTTGTAGCCACTTGATAGATGACTCTGTATGGACCATATCTGTGGAAAAGACACCAGCAGACAGTTTCTATTGTTTATTTTCTCTGCGGCAACAAAACACGTAATACAGGTCAGCAGAGAACTGTGTTACTGATCTGCCTTGGGTCATAAAATGGACTTTTGCCCCTCAACAAGTCAGGTAAAATACAAAATGACTGAAGTAATAGGTGTTCTTCAAAGCAATATAACTTATACATATTTTGAAATATGGGATGTATTTTGTTTTGTTTTATTTAACATTAGGTATTGGCCTTTCATGGGAAAAAGGTGCAAAATGATGAACAGACAGAAGATCTGAGAGCACACATCCGCCTAGAGAAACTTTATTTCAACACCAAATGAATGTGAAAACTGTTTACGTTTGTGATTGTTGATCAG